TATTATTCTAACAATCTTCAAGGCAGTGTTGAATCACTATAGGGAAGACCTTCAGATCACATTACTTCAGAACAGTCCACAGTAAAAGCCTGAACTTCTAACCAGATATGATTCTCCCGGCTAGGATTAATGGGACACCAGAGATCCAACCCGCATCCAACCAGCCCAGTGTATTAGCACCATTCAGACCCAATAACTTGCAGTCTCTGGAGCTGGGTCTATCACATGGACTTTACTTAAATGTGAGGTGGCACTGCTGGGCCAAAGACCTGCCTTAGTTTACCAGTGCCTGAGGTCATGGCCTGGGATATCTCTGTCCACTCCTGTTGCCCCGGGTCATCTTTAGCTGGACGACCCAGAAACCAGCAACCCAGCCATTCTATCACACAGCAGGGGGGGTCGTCATGTGACACACAGCAGCCACAATAGCACTTATGTTCTTATGTTTTATTAATTTTTTTCCTTTTTATTCGAAGCATTCCCAAACGCATTATATCATGAAAAATCTCGATTCTCACCTATGTTAGTTGATCTATAGTGGGCGATGGTCAAAGTAGCCTAATAATGTAGTCTATTAACTATGCATAAAAACCTGTCTGTTTACTTAATTAACAGATATGGGTGGCATGCCATAACATGGTTTTAATACGACTGCCTTTATATTTAATGTGAATTTAACATTGAAAGTTAATGTGAATAAAGACATTGTAAGTTAGGCTACTTATCATAACACTTTCATTGTACAGAAAGAGAGCAAAGAACATTTACATTATCAAAGAACATTTTCCTACCCGGTCTCATGGCAAATACAAAAAAGACGATAGGTTTGTTCGGTAGCTCACGGAGTACTGAGACGTACTTGAGAGGTGAGGAGTACCGGTTCGAATCCCGTGTAACTACGGTTCAACAAAACAGGTCAAATCTGCATATAAGAAAGTAAAAATGGCACGGTTGCATCAAAAAAATTGTTTTTATATCAGTTTTGCATTTGTTAACACTATCGGGTAGGTTTAGGGTTGGGTTTGGTGTA